GATTTCGGGAGTCAGAAAACGTCATCTGCGAGAATGAGATCCCTGAAGGGCAACAAGAAGTTCCTCATGAAGCCCTGAAGCCACGAAGATGCTGGCAGAGAAGAGCAAGGCTGGTAGCAAGAGAGTATAACAACTCGAAGCGAGAAGATGTTTTCAGCCCAGCTACCTCTCCGTCGTTGACGAAGCTGATTCCAATTTTGGCATTGGCAAATCGATGGAGTATTTGGTCGCTTGACATCAAAGATGCATTTCTGCAGGTTCCCCAGAAGAGACCTGTACACTGCAAGATTCCACGAGGAAAAGGAAGTCAAGCAGTACACGGAATGGAGGCCAAATGCTGGCGTCTTGGTCGTGTCCTTCCTGGACAAAGAGATGCTAGTCTTCTGTGGAGCGAATTTTGCGCAGAACTTTTGCAGCAAGAAGGCTATGAGAAAAGCATCGCGAACCCAGCGTTGTTTCGCTTGATCAAGAACGGCAAGGTCGTATCCGTTTGCATCGTACATGTCGATGACCTTCAAGTAGCAGGAAAGGCAGCAGTGGTGAAGCCCGTCCTCGAAGCTTTAGCGAAGAAGGTGAAGCTACAAGTAGAAGGACCTTTTCTGACAGAAGAAGATTATCGCAATGGATTTTCCAAGCAGTCTGTGCGTTTTCTCAAGAGAAGGTATAGCTATGAAGACGGAAAGTTGTTTGTCCGCCCTGACACCAAGTATGTCACCAAGCTCCTTGAAAAGCTACGCCTTGGATCGAGAAGAGAGAAAGCTACCCCTGCAGCAGGAAATGTTCAGAACACCGATGAGACAAAGGAGCTGGACGAGAACAAGAAGAATGTGTACCGAAGTTGTGTCGGTATACTGTATATCTTGCCCAAGATCGTCCTGACATCCAGTATGCAGTCCGAAATTTGGCAACTGGAATGAAGGCTCCTACGCAGAAGAAGCAGAAAGAGCTCGAGCATTGCGCGTTGTATCTGAAGAAGACTGCAGGCTATGCGGTTTGCTACACAGCAGGGAGACCTGGAACGGCAACCTTGCAAAGAAGCAAGAATTTGGAGCAAGATTCCGAGAATGAGAACGAGAAGAGCATCGAGAGTGGCAGTCACCTGGTCGAAGTATTTTCTGACGCCGACTGGGCCGGCAACAAGAGCAGCCGGAAATCTGTATCAGGAGGAGTCATCTTCCTGGACGGCCAGTATGCGTTTTCTTACTCAAGAACGCAGAAAACTGTGGCACTTTCCAGTGGCGAGTCCGAGTACTACGCACTCACTGGTGCTGTCGCAGAAGGAATTGGCATTCGAGAAGCCGTAGAGTTCCTTTCTGGCAAAGCAGCGCGAATGAAGGCGTACACAGACAGCAGTGCAGCGCGCGGCATTGTGCACCGGCAAGGTGTTGGTCGTATCAAGCACTTAGCAACGAGAATGCTCTGGTTGCAAGAAGTTACCAGAAACGGCCTATGCAGCGTGAAGGCAGTGAGCACTGTTTTCAACCCTGCCGACTTAGGGACCAAGCCCCTCAACGCATCGAGAATGAAGCTACTTTTGAACATTCTTCAAGTTCATGATGATCGAGAAGCAATCGGTCGCGAAGAACGAATGGCCGCAGAAAGCACAGCTACAGTCAGAAGATTGACAAAGGTATCCGGAAGCAGACTTGGTTTGACGTTATTGTCAGCTTTTGGTTTTGCAGTTGAATCTGCAGGTCAGCAAGAAGGAGATTTTGTAGCACGAAGATATTTTTGCATGCAGTTGATGAGTTTTGTGTTTGGTCCGTTTTCTACAGCTCAAGAGCCACCTCAAGAACTTCAAGAAGGTGAACAAGAAGTTTTACATGGTCACAGCAGCAACAGCAGCATGAAGTTTTCGCATGTTTTCACGAGCATGCCTGAGCTTGAGATGTTGATGCCCGTGTGCATGGCTGTGATTGTTGTTCTGGTGACGATCATTGTCTACTTGGCAGTGAACCAGAAGAAAGAAAAGAAGGGTGAGAAAGAAGAGAAGCCCAAAGAAAAGAAGCCTGAAGGTGAAGTCACAAAGAAGAAAGAAGAAGAAGACAAAGAGAAGAGCTCGCAAGGTGTCCTCGAAGACGACGAGACCGTGAAGAAGAAGTTCGACGAGCTGATCGCGAAGATGGAAGAGAAAGATCGTGCCTTGGAGAAAGAAAAGTTGAAGAGAGAAGAAGCAGAAGAAAAGGCGAAGGAAGCAGAAGAAGATCGTGATCAAGCATTTGCTTTGAAGGCGAAGGTGGTTGCGAAGTACAGTGAAGCCGAAGCAGAGAAGAAAGCCCTGGAGAAAGAGAAAGAAGATTTAGAGAAGCAGAAAGAAGCTTACAAGCAAGATGCCAAAGAGGTGAGAGAGCAGTTGAAGAAGGACTACGACATGATCACGAAGCACATGAAGAAAGAAGCAGAGGAGAGAAAGAGAGAAGCAGAAGAGCTAGAAGCAGCAGAACAAAGAAGAGAGGAGAAAGACAAGATCAATGCAGAGATCAGGAAAGCCAACGAGGAGAAGATTGAAGCAGCAGAACGACAAAAGAGGAAAGAGGAGACAGACAAGAAAGCCGAAGCAATGAGACAAAGGAGCAGGCAAAGAAGGCCCAGGAGGAGAAAGATGCCCAGGAGAAGGCAGCACAGGAAAGGAAAGCACAGGAGGAGAAGGAAGCACAGGAAAGGAAAGCGCAAGAGGAGAAGGAAGCACAGGAGAAGGAGGATGAAAGGAACGAGGCAATCGCGAAGGAGAAGGCGAAGAAGCAAAGAGCAAAGTTAGAGGCCTATGAGGAGATGAGAAGAAAGGAGCAGGAAGCCCAAGAAGCGACGAAAGAAGAGAAGGAGAAGGCAAAGAAGGAGTTGAAGGAAGCACAGGAGCGAAAGACCCAGGCGGAAATTCAGGCAGAGAAGGAACGAGAAGGAATGAAGGAGATTGAAGTCGTTGAAGTTGAAGATTCAGGATCTGAAGATGAAAAGCCCACACTAGGAGCAGAAGGAAAGAAGGATGCAGAAGGCAATGTGTGGCAGATCCACAAAGGAGCATTGTGGGTCAGGATCAAAGGCCAGTGGTATGATCCAAACTGGTGGACAAAGAAAGGATACAAGCCACCGCCCGACTTTGCAGAGTCGAGCGAAGAAGGAAAAGAAGAAGGAAAAGAAGAAGGAGGAGCAGCAGGAACAGAAGAAAGAAGAGAGCAAGAAGAAGAGCAGCCCCGAGAACCACCGCAGAGAGGAGAGAAAGGTAGCAAGAACACAAAGGGCAGATGGAATGTGGTCACGTTCACAGATTGTGGTTGGATCTGGGAGTATTGCAAAGACACGAATGAGTATCGAGCAGTTCGGCTCGATCAGAAAGGATCAGCGCAGGTGAAAGGAGCGCAGATCAAAGGTGCCGAAGACTGGAACCTCGTGACCAAGCACTTCAAGAAGACAGGAAGGTGGGAGAGCCCCACAGAAATAAGAAGAGAGAGAGATGAGCCTGAGGTGCAGCAAGAAGGAAAGCGAGGAAGAAGAAGTCGAGAGCAAGAAGACTGGCAGCAAGAAAGTTGGCACCAGCAGCAGGACTGGTACGCCGACGACGGTTGGAGCCAGAACTACTGGGACGCAGACTACGCCTACTACCACTACGCCCCGAAAGGGAAGTACCAAGGCAAAGGGAAATGGAAGTATGGTGGTGGTGGCAAGAAAGGCTGGTAAGAAGAAGAAGCCAGCAAGAAGCATCGAGAAGGGTGACGACTGAACGCAGCGTGAAGCATGTATAGATTTTCTGAAGCTGTGTACATAGAAGTTCGAGCACCCCGAACATTGCACGAAGTACAAAGTAGGTACAACGAATGTTTTTGAATAAGCAAGGACCCCAATACGCCTTGTGATATTCACACGAGTTTCACCAAGAAGAAAGTAGTTTCACGAAGAGTTTCACGAAGCAGGACTAGGAGTGTAAGGTGCAGCCAGGTAGAGGCAAGAACAGTTGAAGAAAGAAGATGGTTAGGTAAAAGAGAAGACCACACAAGAGCCATAGGCTGGCCACAGGGCTGAGACTCACAAGATGAGGACTCTAAGACAAGCCCGTGTAACTAGAAATTCGAGGTTAGGAGTTTATGCATGTTTCAAGAAACAAAGCAGAAAGAACTGGGTAAAAGACCTTGGACCAGAGGAGACGAATGTCCCCAGTTCAGTACACTTGAAGTCCGAAACAGCTCTTCGTCTTTTGGCACAGCAGTGAGAATCACTGCAGGAAAGAGAACGCCCTAAAGCCTTCGACCTGTTCCGAGGCGGGGTGTTAAGTGTACAGCATGTATCCAGGTACAGTGAATGGGTGCAGTAGGAAAGACACCAAATGCCCTAAGGCATGTTGAGTCTGAGCAGAACGAGTTTGACACCGGAGGCTTAGGCTCAAGAGTCGAAAGCGAGAAAAGTTGTTTTGCCTTTAGAGCGTGGTAGGAAAAGTGAGCCATGATGTTCACCACGTTTTTCAACAGAACGTGGCTTCGGATGTCACTCGTTGCTACGCACTTAGATGGGCCATTGTTGAAGAAGCCGATGCTGACAGCTGAGAGATGCAGAAATTTTTCTTTGGGCCTGAGGCTGCGTTCTAGAGTAGAGGTCTCGTAAGGGGTGCTAAGGGACTGGCCTTAGGCCGTGTGCAAGCCAGTGGCGTGGCCACTGGCGGATGGTGTGTTCCTTGGCCCTGTTATGAGCGGTTCTGACAGCTCTGAGGATTTTTCTTCTTCTTCGAGCGACGACCGCGTTTTGATCCTTGCAGGGCCTCTGCCGCCGTTTCGGCCAGTTTTGTTGCGCCCCAGAGCCTTCTACGACGATCTGCTGCGTGATCAGGTTGCCGCTCCCACCGGCCTTTGGTCTTGGGTCGTTGACAGCAATTTGGTTGCCGTGCTTCTGAGCCAGAGCGAGGGCTCCAGGATTTTGCTGGCACTTCCTTTCCGCAGCTGGCCCTCGCTGCTCTGCACAGCCAAAGGTCCTCACGCTTGCTTTCGCGTATTGCTCACTTTGCCTTCTTAAGCATGTCCGATCCGGCCAGTGCTACTGAAGCCTCTGGTTCCGCCAGCAGATGGGTCGCAGTCGCGGAGCATCCTTTCCCGCCTGAGCCCCCGACCTTGCCTGCCTGTGCAGTGATTGCCCTCGAGGCCCCTGCGCCTGGGCCGCTGACTGTGCTTTCGGATAAAGGGGGGAGTTTAGGGAATGCTTCTGTTGGGGGGAGTTTAGGGACTGCTTCTGTTCTTTCCGACAATGTCTCAGTGTCCGATGGCGACTTCAACGTCGCCGAAGATGCAGGTGTTGGCCCACTGGGGGCTTGCTCTCCTGACCCTGAAGATGACACCCGTCATCCTGATTCTGAGGGTTGTGCAGGTTTACCTCTCGAGTCCCGCGTTGACACCAGCTTCATTGATCAGATTGTTTGCCAACAGGTTGTTGCATCCCGAAATTTGACGCAAATCCGTCTGCCGTGGGAGCAAGGTCCTATGAAGTGCATTTTCAGTGATGATGCCGACTTTGCTGTGCAATCCCCATCCTTGGAGCCCTTGTTACCGCCAGAGGTGAGCACGCCTGATCGGCTGGTCGAGTGCTTGGAGCATGTGACCGACTTGAAGTCATTCTTTCAAACCACGATTTCTAATGTTGCTGACTGCGATATTAATGAGACCCTTGGAAGTTTGCTTCACATTGCAATCAATAAGTTGTGTGTCGTCGTGGAACGGTGCACAGGACAGCCGCCCGACCCTGAGGACATTGAGGCCAGGACGGGGCTCCGCAGCCCCTACACGTTGATCAAGAGGGCCAATTCCCTCCTCGCCTATCTTCGTTGGGTCGATGGTCAGCCCCTTGCAAATCTGTCCTTCTCGGGTGTGTTCCAAGAGACTCTTGTTTGGGAACATTTTCAGTACTTGAAGAAAGAAAACAAGCCTCCGACCAGCGGTTCGACGTTGCTTTCTGCCATGCGGTTCTTGCACTACGTCCTTGAGGTGGATGTGCAGGTATGCATTTCTAGCCGGCGCATCGTCGGTGCCAGTCAGCAGTTGGCTGCTAAGACCCGTTGGCTCAAGCAGGCTCGTGCATTAACAGTTGATCAGGTTCGCAAATTGCATGAACTTCTCGAAGGCAGTGACGACCCCCTGTTGCGTTGCTTCGCTGCATATGCCTTGATCGCCGTCTATGGACGATGTCGGCACTCTGACCTGCAGTGCATCTGGGACCTGGAGTGCGATTTCGATGGTGTTTCGGGCTTTCTGCAGATTCGAACAGGTCGTCACAAGACCTCGACCACCGCCAAGAAGAAAGCGCAGTTTTTGCATATCTTGGTCCCTGCACAGGGAGTGGTCTCTCGTCCCTGGCTGCCTCTTGCAATCCAGGCGTTTGAAGCTGTTAACCTGTGTTTAATTGGCAAGATTGACGGGCCCATTTTCCGCCCACCCCTTGATGCTGAGTGCTCTGCCCTCTGTGCTCGCCCCGTGTCCTCGCAAGAAGTGTCCAGGATGCTTCGTCAAGCCCTCGATTTGCCTGAGGACTCCGGCGTGTCCTCCCATTCCCTCAAGGTCACTGGCCTGTCCTGGGCATCCAAGGCTGGCGCGCGCGCTGGCATGGACCGTGATACTTGTGCTGTCTTGGGTCGGCATGCTCGCAATCAACTCACGACTGAGGTTGTGTACAGCCGTGACCTCAGCGCGGCCCCGTCGTTGGCCTTTTCTCGCTTGTTGCATCAGGTGGCTCTTGGGGTGTTCATGCCAGATGCTCCTTTGCGCGCTTTCTGGAGCGAGTCCTGTGAAGCCTCTCCTGGCCTAGCACCAATTTTGCCTGTGGTGCGACCCTCCGGAGCCATCAAAGTTGAAGATTCCGCCTCCGAAGCCGCGGAGTCTGCGCATGAGAGCAGCGAGGATTCCTCCGCTTCTGAGGCCTCCCGAAGCAGCAGCTCGGACAGTGGGACCCCTTCCTCAAGCCCTCCCCTCAGCAAAAAGGCCCGCCGCTTTCTGCCTGAGACACGGGATGAGTCCGACGTCTGGGTGATCCACCGTCGTTCCCGCAAGTTGCACTTGGTCCGCGGCCAAAGAAATCTTGATGCGTGCCTTCAAGTTCTTGCATGCGGACGTGTGCGCTCCGATGCGTACAGAGTTGCCGAGGATGCTGACCTGGATGCGGTCGAGTGTCAAGGTTGCCGGCGATGCATTTGACGGTTGTGGAAAAGTCGGGTCCCTCTGCTTGCGAAGGTAAGTAGTCGACCTAGGGTCTGCAATGAAGTGTTGCGCCCTCACAACTGTCATGCTGCTGTCTGCCTTTTTCGGTCGAGTGCACGGACAAGGGGGGGGGGGGGTTGAGCATGAGTGAACGTGAGTCATGTCGGCTGCTTGTTCTCTCTCGCCCCCCCATCAAGTCGAGGTTGGTGACGACATGACCAATGCTTTCATGCCATGATTTGTTGTGTTGATTCCTGATTGACATCTTGATGTTCAGTTACACTCAGTCATGTGAAGTTGTTCGGGTGCATTCTGTCATGTGAAGTAGGTGCCCCTAAGTAGCCTCTCGAGTGCGCTGCGTGAGAGCCCCATGTCTGTGCTGGAGTCTGCCGCTCACTTTCAGGCGAGATGCAAGCTGTTCCGCATCGGCGAGCCCCTCATACGTACCTTGACGCGTCTGGGTTTTGAGACTCTTGGGCAGCTCGCTTATTGCGTGGGCCAACCAGGTCAACAGCTAGCCGATGATCAGTGGCATACTTGGGTCCAAACCTCCATCCCCGCCGCATCAGCCGGGGAAGCTGCGAGTGTACGCCGACTCGTCTTCGAGGCGCAAACACTTACCTTGGCAGATCTCAAGGACCAGGTTACCAACCCCAGTGCCTCTGCCGCCCGACCCCTTGCAGAAGCAGAGCGCGACAAACGCATGGCTGCTTTAAAGGCCAAGGTTTCCGGTGTGATCATAGAAGGTGATGCGGAGCCCAGCCGGGCCCTGTTGGAATTGGCCTGCACCATGAGTTCGCTGGATGAGATAAGGTATATCGCCCCTGAGAAATGCACCTCCCGCTTGAGCGAGGTAGCCCTTGCCAAGCCCCTCGCCCGTGTCGTCGAGCTGGAGCAGCAGCGGCTTGTTCTCAAGGACCAGGAGCTCCCGTGTGACGCCCAAGTTCACAACCCCTTGCTCCTCTCTGCAGCATTCCGTCGTCGAGGACTGGCGCTGGCATTTGCAGACGTGGTTGATTTTCTTGCACATGAAAAATACGTCAATGAGCTGATGCGACACCTGACAAACCCCGACGCCCTGCCAGGGGGTGCTTGCCAGCTGCATCAAGTTGTCGAGGCTGACCGCTTGGTTCATGTGTGGATGCTTGAGAAAGGAATCCGGCCCCGGCGCAAGAGTGACGGATCCCGCGCCATGGATGACGCTCTCTTTGAAGCGCTCTCGTCGTATCGCGTTTCCTTCGTCTTGATCCCTCGTGGAAGCACGGCTGCTGGGAGTGGCGGCGGTCGAGGAAGGAAGCGCAAGAAGACCAAAGATGACAAGGGCAAGAAGGATGATAAAGCTGAGAAGATTCCCCCTGCGCCCAAGGACCCGCCTGCTCGCCCCCCGAAAGGTCCAGGCAAAGGTGCTGCCAACCGTGCGGCTGTCCCCAAGGCCATTCTCGACAAGGGTGGCAAAGCCCAAACGCCCGATGGCAAAGCCATCTGCTACGGGTTCAGCCTTGGGGAGTGCCGGGTGGCCAACTGCCCCCGTGCCCATGTCTGCGCGCGTTGTTTCGGCAATCATAGCCTCATGCAGTGCCAGCGCAAAGAGTGACTATCGCCAGAAGCCGCTTCGACCAGTGTCACTTCGAATTCGTTTTCTGCTAGCCAGCCTGACGTGGCGAAGATGTCTGACCTTCCCCCGCAGGTGCTGACTCCTGCCCTTTGCACAGATGAGTCTCGCGATCTCCCCGCTTCAGGCCAACCTGTTCTGGAAGTTCGCGAACGGGCTAATCTTTCTCCTGCATACAGGCCCCTTGGTGAGCCCGTGCCTAGGCCCCCGGTTGCTCCCTCCTCAAGCACCTCTGTTGTTCCCACTAGCACTGCCGCGTCCGTCAGGTCACCTGGCTCTGCAAGTGACCTGCCACCCCAACCCGAGCCCTGTGAGGGTTCGCTGGGGTCCGATGTGGGGCTTGTTGCTGGGTTTTGGGGGCTTCCAAGTTCCCCAAGAGCGCCCGTTCTTTTGCGTCCGAATTGCCATCCAAAAGAACGGACGGTTTCTGACAAAAGAACGGCGGAAAAAGGGCCCGGAATGGACCCGGTGGACCCCCATACCGAGCCCCGCCCTGAAGCACCTGTACGTGAAGCGACTGTGCAGGCGCCAGTCCGCGCTGATGATGCATCCTGTTCTGCCCCCAGGCCTGCTGTGGCTCTTGACTTACGTGAACAGCCTTCGCCCTGCCAGTGGGTCGTGGACGTGGCTCGTGCGGAGCATCTTGCCCGTGCCTCTGTCAACAGCCCTTCGCTTGAAGCTGCCCGGCGCATTCTTTGCCTGCTTCCCTCTGAGGTCCCCGCACGGGGCCAAGCGCATAGTGCCTCTCACTCCTGGACCTGCGGCATGTGGACCTGGGGTGCCCGTGCGGGCGTTCGCGGCTTCACGAAACGTTTCCCCGCTGTGACACGTTTCTTTTGTGCTCTACTTCGCCAGCACTTCCCTGGCCACGCATTCACGAATGCTGCTGTGTTCACAAACCTGCGCGCGGAACCGCACGTTGACTCCTGCAACGTGCCTGGTTTCCCCAACCTGCTTCTGCCAATCAGCCTTTTCCGGGACGGCGACGTCTGGCAAGAATCTCCAGTTGGCCGTGTTCCGCTGGCAGGGCACGATGCCCTGGGCATACGGCTCCGCGTCAGTTTGGGGCCCCAGACCTTAGACGCCAGCCGCCTGCATGCCACACTCCCTTGGAAAGGCGTTCGGTGTTTGCTTGTGGGATATTGCCTTCAGGGTTGGGAGCGGCTGTCCGAGAAGGAACGACAGGAGCTCCTTAGTTTGGGTTTCCTTAACCCGGTTCCCTAGTCCAGCCTGCCCCTGTGCGGCCCCTCACGCCCCCCACCCCGCCTTTAATTTTGGAGTTATTCTCCGGGTCTGGTCGCGTCACTGCGGCCCTGCGTGCACTTGGTTTTGAGGCTGTTGCCATTGACAAGGTCAAGAGCGTTGGGTGTGCCGCCCCGCCCTGGGTGCTCGATGTCTCTACGCCAGACGGCCTTGCCCAGCTGCTCCAACTTGTGCAAAACCCGCGCGTCTTGGGGTTGTTCGCCGCTCCGGCTTGTGGCACGTGTTCTCTGGCCCGTGGCATTCCGTGCTGGGACAGCCAGGGCAATCCGGTGCCTGTGCCCCGGCCTCTGCGGTCAGACCGTCACCCGGACGGTATGCCCGACCTCCCCCCCGGTGATGCTCGCCGTGTGCGCCTTGCAAACGAAAGCTACCTGGCGCTTCGACAGGCCGTGCGCCTGGGTGTGCAGCGTGGCATCTTGATTGCTGTGGAGAATCCGCGGTCATCCTTGTTTTGGAAGACTTCCTTTTGGCGCGACGTGGCTCCTGCTTTTCGCTATGTGGATCACCAGGCGTGCGCCTATGGTGGCGACCGCCCCAAGTTCACCCGGATTGCCTACACGCACCCTTCTTTCGAGTCCTTGTGCAAGCTGTGTCCCGGCTGCCCTGCGCATGCGTCTTGGGGTGTCGACCCCGCGGCCCCCAACGGTTTCGCCACCAGTCGGGAGACCGCCTACCCTCGTCCCTTGGCTCATGCCATTGCGCAGTGCTTCGCGAGTGCCCTTCCCACTGTCGAGCCGCCGGGCCTCCAGCTTCCGGCGTTACGCAGCCTGGCTGGACTTCAACCAAAAGCTAGCAAGGTGCCAGCCTTGGTCCCGGAGTACAAGACCACTTGCGTGGTCCGGGGGCCTGCCGCCAGCCTGGTCCCGCCTTGCCAACCCATGCAACGCCTCGAGCAGGCTTGGCCGGTGCCTGCGGATTGTCAATGCAGCTTGAAGGTCATACCTCCCTATGCTCAGTTGCTGCGTCTCAGTCCGGTTAAAATGGGAAAGCAGGATGAGGAAACTCGTAGGCATGTTGAATTGGCGTGGGGCATTCCGTGGTCGCCAAGTGAATTCATTCAGTGTGCTTGCAAAGCTGTCCACCCTGTGGCCCAAGAAGCACAATTACCCAGCGAACTTCTTCAAGCCGTCGAAGTGAATTGCAATGCGACGACAGCGTCGGCCCTTGAAGGGAAGCGCACAGCTTGGTTTGAAAAATGGTTCAAACGGTGCTTGGAACTCAGGACAGACGAATGCAAACTCAAGGATGGCATGCATCCCGACGTCCGAGGCATCCTTGAACCTAAAAACCTTCTTGTCTGGCGCGAAATCTTAGATGACCTCAACTACCCTGACAAAACTGTCATCGAGGAGGTGATTTCAGGGACCGTGTTGACTGGTGAAGTTCCGAGTACTGGGCTATTCAACCCTGTTTTCAAACCCGCGGCAATGTCCGAGGACTTGTTGCGAGACACCGCCGATGAGGGCAGGCACAGTGTCTTCCGGAGTGTTAAGTCGCAGGGTGATTTGCTTGACCAAGAAGTAAAGAAGCAAACCCTTGAAGAACTACAGAAAGGTTGGTTAGAAGGGCCCTTTGATCCGTCTGAGCTGCCTAACGGCTCAGTAGTTTCTCGCCGGTTCGGGATCCAGCAAGGGTCAAAGGTACGTCTGATAGACGACCTCAGTGCATCGCACGTCAACTCGTGTGTCCAAACAAATGAGTCTCCAAAGCCCCATTCCACCGACGTTCTTGCTGCACTTGCCATTCAGCTCATGAGGTCCACCAATGAGCCACTCTTGGGTCGTACCCATGATTTGAAAGCAGCATATCGACAGCTGGCGGTGTCCCAGAGTTCCGCTTGGTGCTCGTACGTTTGCATCTGGGACCATGAGCGTGCCGCCCCCGTGTGCTTCAGGCTCAAAGCGTTGCCTTTCGGCGCGTGCAGAAGCGTTTATTCGTTTCTGCGCGTAGTGCATAGCATCTGGTTCATAGGGACTGTTGGGTTAAGCCTCCCTTGGGTTTGCTATTTCGATGACTTCATCACGATTTGTTCGGGCAGCCTCGCACACAGCACTGACGCTACCATCAAGCGCTTATTCAAGCTCCTGGGCTGGACACTGTCCAGTGACGGAAAGAAGGACTTGCCGTTCAGGAGGTCTTTCGAAGCTCTTGGCATCGTCGTCGATTTAGAGGAGAGCGCGAACAAAGTTGTGAAGTTTGCAAACACCCCATCCAGGGTGAGCGAACTCTGTGGGTCCATTGGCGACATACTCGACGCTGGTTCCCTCAAACAGCCTCTGGCCTTGAGGTTGAGGGGACGCATGCAGTTTGCTGACAGTCAATTGTTTGGAAGGTCCGCTAGGATGTGCCTTAGACAAGTCACCAAGCACGCCTATAGTGATGTGTCCGATACCTTGTGTGAGGATTGCGTTTTCGCTCTGGACAGGTTCAGGAAGATGCTTCTGGAGCACAAACCCAGAGTCTTGAACGGATCTTTGCGGGAAAAATTCGTCATCTTCACGGACGCCTGCTTCGACCCAGAGGCATCGGACTGGGCGTGTGGTATTGGTGGCCTGCTGTTCTCTGACAGAGGTAAACTCCTAGGTGCCTTTTCCGAGCAACTTGAGCGCTGGCAGATTGAAGCATTGACCGAGGGCTTTCGTAAGACGGTCATTTTTGAAGCTGAACTTTTGGCAGTTATCGTTTCGCAGCTTGTATGGGGACACGTCATCAGACATGCACCTGTGCTGTGGTTCGTTGATAACAATGCCTCCCGCGACATCGCGATTTCAGGCTGCACGAGGTCTGACAATGCACAAGCGCTTCTAAATGTCTTGCTGGAGAGCGAGGAGCAGTTCGATGTCAAAGCATGGTACGCCAGGGTTCCTTCTCCGTCTAACCCTGCTGACCATCCCTCTCGAACAAAGCTGGAGTCCTACGTTCATGGCAACACTTTGGTTGGTGCAGTTGACGTCCGTCAAACCCTTAAGGCTGTTTTCGAAAACTTCTTAAGGAAAAAGGTAAAAAGGTGAAAGTCGGATAATGTGGGGAGTCAGTGCTGGGTTCGTATTGCAACTTTGCATGAGGTGCCAAGTAGATCTACACAGGCTTTCCAAGGCAGAAGGTTTGTCCTTGCGTGGCATGAGGCCCGCATGTGCATGCTTGCCCACGCTTCCACGTGAAAAAAAAAAGGAATGTCCGAGTGAGTGCGTTACTGTAAGCGTTGCGCTCTCTGAACCACACCAAGTGTAGGCTCATGTGTCTTTGTTCTTTGTTGGCTTAAAGGTAAGCTTGAGCGGAGCACGAAGCTTGCTGTCAACTTGTTGATAGCGCCTTCGTGAGGAGCGAACGCTTAGGTTGCCTGCAACCGTGCCTTTAAGAAAAACAAAAAGAGTTTTCACAGTGCTTTCAAAATTTTCTGCATGCCCATCTTTCATGTTCTCTCTGCATGTCACCTTGACAGCTTGTATGCAGTCTTCATGCCCGGTAACAGTGGCTGACAGCTGAGAGATGCAGAAAATTTTCTTTGCCCGCCCGCCCATCCCAGTGGGTGTGGCCGATCCGTGCCTGACGGATCCCGCCTGTGGATCTTCTTCTGCCTCATCCGGGGGAGTCAGTGCTGGGTTCGTATTGCAACTTTGCATGAGGTGCCAAGTAGATCTACACAGGCTTTCCAAGGCAGAAGGTTTGTCCTTGCGTGGCATGAGGCCCGCATGTGCATGCTTGCCCACGCTTCCACGTGAAAAAAAAAGGAATGTCCGAGTGAGTGCGTTACTGTAAGCGTTGCGCTCTCTGAACCACACCAAGTGTAGGCTCATGTGTCTTTGTTCTTTGTTGGCTTAAAGGTAAGCTTGAGCGGAGCACGAAATTTTGTGTACAGGCAATATGCCTCTAGGGACGAGCAATGTAGAGTCTGCCTACGCAAACAAACAGGGAAAGAGCTCTGGTATGACAATGGGTTCGGCAGCATGCCAGTCTGCAAACTCTGTCATCTCAACCAAAGCTGCCCTGATGACCTTGCCCATGCCATCAGCTGCATGCTGCCTTGCTGTGATGTTAACCAAGCACCACTCCTGCAATGTGCGGCAATGCCTGGTGCTCCGGCTAGAACTATTACTTACAGAGCAGCTATACCCAATGAGCACCAGTGTACTTTCATCCAAAGCCACTGCCTGCTCTGTGGGCTGGGAGCAAACACAACAGAGCATTGGCTTACGGCTTGTGTGGTCACCAAAGCCTCCCTCTTTATTGTCCTAGTCACATTGGGATATGCTGGCACTGCCTCGTTTGACTCCCTGTGTCACACTGCCCTTCCTAAGATCAATGTTGAGGGAGGGATTGACAAGAAATTCTGTGCCGTCCTATTAGCATGGATTGCGACCATAAGAAGATATACTATGGAACAGCAATGCACCTGGCACCCTGGATGGTGTGAGACACCGCAACGGCCAAAACACATCAGTAACATACCCAAGCTCGCGTCACGTCTTTGGAATACCATCCCGAGGATGTTACTTCCCAAAGCATTACCGGCATGGTGGGTTGACACGGAACGCTGCAAGCCCTGTTGCAACGACGGAGGACTCCATATTGAGGTCAAGCATCCCCTTTCTGCCTTAATTAAAGCAAGCGCCCAAGGTGTTACCGTCTCCCCCAGGAATGCCAATATAGGGGATGTCTTAGCAACATTAGATGCACAGCATTACTTGCTTGCACCTATGTATCAACAGACCCTTGGCGTCCCTAATGTTGCTCTATGGCCTAAAATGTGTCATTGCGGCAATCTGCACCTTAAAGTTACGGCATTAAGGCCAATCCCTGCAGGTACTCCACTTATTGTTGAGTTAAAACCTGTCAAAGATACCCACCTTGTTGCTCAATTTGACGGCAGCTGCCACGTGCAAGAAGGTATCGGTGGTGCGGGTGGTATCGTATGGTCGCCCGGACCAGTCCCGGTAATTCTTGAAACGATTGCCATCCCACTCCAGCCTTGTCCAGATTCTATGTTTGCGGAAATATGCGCCGCTGACGCAACGTTAGACAAGGCATTATCTCTAGCTGCTAGCAATCAAATTAGGGAGGTTATCCTTCAGGGCGACTGCATCAACATTGTAAAGCACTTTGCTGGTGCCTTGAGACTACATAGGGAAGACCTAGTGCGAAAACTGGACAACATGTGGCAAAAGTTAACGCACACACCCATTACAGTGCATTGGTCATACGTCCCTCGCGTCGGCAACAAAGTCGCTGATCACCTGGCAGGAATCGCTGCTAACAGTCTCCGCTACGAAGCACCCCTTCATGAAGATGTCTTCTTTGACTCGGGTGAGGGTCAGCCTCATATGCAAATAAACACTGAGTGCTTTCCGCCTATTCTGTTGCCTTCCAAGCAATGGCACCTGCAAGCTATACAGGACTTGCATTCCGGAGCTGAAATTATTTCTCTTGAGGCCCCCCCACTTTGGAATCCGGAACTGCTTTTGCGGTTTTGCCTCTACAATCGGATCAAGCCTCCCCCCGAGCTTGATACAACGTGGCCAGGGCTGGTCCAGTATCGAAGGCCATCTTTGCACCCACAGGGTAGATATTATGCCATACGGCACTGGCAAACGAGTAAAAGGCTAACACGTTTCTTGGCCATCGGACCGAACGCAATTGAAATCGACATGAAAGGTGCGCATTATACGCTTTTGCGCCTCCTTACATGTCACAGCCCTACTCACCCACCCCTCCCAACGTTGCTTGAAGCCAGGGAGATATTTAGTAGTCACCTTGCACGCGCGCCCAAAGCACAAACAGTACAAACCAAGCACTTGTTGCAAAGAGCAGTTGGAATGGACAGCAATGCTTTCCTTCGGCATGTTTATGAAGGTAGTATTGCTGCTTATGCCATCCCCCCTGCCTTGGCAAGTTTTCTTGCACATTTGGTGCAGGCTAAAGCTACCCTCCAGGTTATGATCCAGCAAGGAATCCCTTTTTACCAACCGGATGCAAGGGTCAACAACAGGAATTGGGCAACTTTTGCACTTGAAGCTGCGGAAAGCTTCGTAATGCGAAAAGGGCTCGCTGCAATGCTCCCGTACTGCGCAGGCACAGTGCTTTGGGTACATGACGGGGTGTACGTCAAAAATAGAAACGCAGTTTCACCCTTCATCGAAGGGGCTACTGAAGCGTTAGTTCAGCTCATCCAGGTGGGGCAGCGCTGTCATCCACAGGTCACACCTAACCAGGAATTTGCTAACCTACAAGATGTCTTTGCTATTACCACCACGAAGAGTGAATTTAATGCGGCAGTTGATGCGTTAAACGCTGCGGGTATCGCGTGTCATAGCCCTGCTCTCCCAAAGCACCCAAAGGCAACCACCAACAGGGTGTCCAAGCGCCTTATCCTGGAAGTTCAGGATATACTAGAGGTCGAGAGGCAAAGAGACGATAAAAGGAGACGCGTTGATGTTACAGCTGTTCCGCGTAGGGGATTGTGGGTAACACCCCCCTCGTTGTGATGCGTGTAGTCCCCATTTCAACCACCCTCCCTCTTTCGTGATGGCGGCACCTTTGGCTCAGACCAGTTGTGAACGCCCGGGCACAACCAAACATGCTGGCCGCCACACGCTGCCTCCTGGCTTGGCGTTACCATGAAGCCATTGGTAGTCATTCCAGCACAGCTGACTTCGAACTCACAGTCCTCCCTGCTGCAGCGGGAGCGATCCTCGTGGCTCTCTTAGAGGAAAGCAAGTCGAACGAAGCCCTTTCCCCGTACCATAAGGATCGTTTATATCGAGGCGTCTCCTTTGGTAATCCACTGATCATTCACGAGATTGTCGAAGATCTGGATGAGGAAAAACTCCTACTTGCATGGACTCTCATTGAAGTCATTGCAAGGCTGGACGCTGCCACTCAACCTCGCGCTACCGTGTCAATGCTATGGAAAATAAGTGCACCAAATCTCCGTGCCATCTCGTGCGTTGGAGAACGTGCGCTTGCCCAATCACTTTCGGAGCACTTTTCTTTGACCCCCAAATGGTCTTCACGAGTTGTCGGGGCTTTAATCGGGCACAAAACTGGATGGGGTAGGGTAGAGGCATTGCTCCAGGTCTTAACGCCAAGAGCAACAGTCATTGCCCGTGAACTGTGTGAGTGTGAACAATTCCCCTATCACTTCTTTGGCCGTGGTAGTCATACCTTGTTTCTTCTCACACAATAGATCCAGAGCCACGTTATTGGCTCTAATGCCCCTGGCTGGACCCACCTCACTTTGGCCATCTGTTCGCAGACAGTGGAGCTATGTGCCAATGTGTCCACTGAGTGAGGGTGTGGTTGCCCCTTGTACTTTGTGCTCGGTGGGCTTTATTGCCGCTTATGGTACTCGTACCTTTACGTGCTCCTCTGTTATTTGCTTCGTTGTTTGATCACTGCTAACATTGTGATCACCTACCCCTCCCCATCCGAATATAGTTGGCACATGCGTGACAGTTATTTTGCTCAAGCGCTCGTTATGGGAGCACTGACCCTTAACCCGCGCAATGGCCTTCTGTCTGGATTTGGCGCCGGATCATCTTAGGAAGATTCTTGGCTCTTCCATCCATACTTCGCCCTGCCTCTTCTCGTATGACAACAAATTCTGCACCGTGGAGTCCAGTATCGCCTTTTGCATTATGCAGCTGGCTGGCACGGTCTCCATTCGTGCACACTTGGATGCCGATGTAAAGTCCTCCGAATTGGTTGGGGCTGCTCTCCAGCTTATCCACCGCTGTTGGTCCAAGGGACTTGCCCTCCAGTTAAGGGAGATAGATGGATGCGGATGCCTTGAGTGGCAGCAATGGGGGTTGCAAACTCTGCGCGCTATGGGTTCGGTGAGTGCGGCGTGGCATAATGTACTTGCTGGCCACATCGGGCAGGCGTATATAATTGCGCTCCCGGTAACATTGCATGCATCTTGCAGAATTGCCACTACCACCCTGGGCAGCTACGAGGTGTTTTTTCTTCGGTTGAGCTCGCTGTCCTGTCTGCCTGTTTTCCGTCTTCATGCACC